TTGTCATCATCAATAATACATTATTATTGGGTCCAGTGAACCAGATCAAACACAATTATACGAGCCCAAAATCAAAGGAAGAATTATTAATGAGAATGTTCTGAACTTGAACACTTGTTTTTTTTTATTTGCGGTCCAAGTTTATTGATGTGAAGCATATTCCACAATGCAGTGCGCTTAACTTGACCTTCAATTTCTAGTATGAAAAACGAAGCAAACGGGAAACCAATCAATGATTTTCGTGACTGACTGTTTGACCAAACAAAACAAAAAAAGACAATTTTGTACAAAATAAAAAATGCAAAATAACAAAATAGCATTATTCACTATCAATAATGAATGCTTCACCAGGGCTCTTCCTGCATTCATTTGCAAGCAAAACAAACACAAAATATTGAATATGCATTATCATAATGTGTCATATTAATCATTGTAAACCCTGGTTCTGTTCAATGCATCCCATCAAAATGTCATATTTGATCATGTTTACTTATTTCTGAGATGCCAAATGGATGGCATTTGCTTGCATTTAACATGAAATATAGTGAGATCATGTGGCAGAAGTCTTGCTTAGTATTGTTTAACCTGTATAACACCATTTGAAATATTTATTTTTATTTTATTATTCTGCTTTTTTTAATAGTGTAACCATCACTGTAAGAAAAAATTAAAAAACATAAATTATTATATTATATATAATATTATATAATATTATATAATATTATATTATATGTACTCAGCCATAAGCAGTGGCATTATTCCATTCCACACATATCCTCTGCGCTTCTTCCATTTTTCATCAATGGATGATGGCAGAATAAATAACACTTTTATCATGCGATCTCCCTCATTGACGGTTCGAGCGGTAGATATTTTCCGAGAGGTCAGATCTGTGACACCGCTCATGTTCTGTATTGATCAGCGTGACCTTTTACGGAGTTTAAAGGTCAGATCAGAGCCGCCGAGGATTATTGTAAATGATCGGAATAATTCAGGGGTTAAAAAGCGGGTCGGATGAGATCTGTGATGAAAATGTTCCTTTAGGGAGGTTGCAAACATCGTGTGGAAAGGTAATGCAATATGCAGAGCGATAAAATGGGAAAAATCTATTTATTGCATCTATCAGAGGTGAGTGCATACCATCAGATGGAGTAGAAGCACGTATCGCATCTCTACAGCAATATAATAATCAGAAATGTAGCCATTAAAACACTCAGCTGAGATGCTTGATGGGCACATTGATCCAAGTGTCATATTCACTTTAGAGTGATGATGTGATGTTGCATAGCTTTTTAAAAATAGTTTGTGAAATAGTTTGCTGAATGCAACAATAAACGTTTCAAAAAGTAGTGTGCTACATCGCTGTCACATGAGTGCCATAGTAACATGTGCAGCACAAAACAGATCACTACTGTATCCCACAATCCAATGCACTGACACGGACATTACACTGTAAAAAAAATATATTTTTCAAAGTTCTAAATAAAGTATATTTTACAAAACTTAAAAATTAATGAAACGTGTTATTTGGTATTTCTTTGTAATTCTTTGTGTGGTTTTAAAGTTAATCCTATACATCAAAATATTTTCAGTGTGCTGCCAAAAGTTTATTGAGGAGTGACGCTTGAAAATAAAATGAAGGAATAAGTTATCAAGTTAATAATTCAAATATAAAAATTGAAATAAATAATTTTTAGATGCACAAATGATATTATAAAATAATTTATTTAAATAAAATTATTAATTAAACTGTATATTTAATTGTAAAAATGTATTTGAATAAAACAATAAAATGGTCAATTCAATATTTTTAAATGCACATTTTAAAAAGCATTTGTCAATTTGTCTAGGACGCTACTGTTTGAAAAGTTAGGCACTGCATACTGATTTGCATACTGTTTAAAAAAAAAAAATAGCAGACATGTAAGCCAGGCAGTAACTTTTAGGCATATATGTTTTTATGAATAACCAATGGAGAGGAAAAAAAAAAGTCTAGTTATCAACACAGAAATAAATACATTTATTTTGAATTTTAATCAGATTACCTCATTCATAATGACATGTCAAGCACATTGAGATTTGCAAGTTGCTTCAAAAAGCATATGCTAAATTAGAATGAAAATGTAGATATTTTTGCAGTGTGCTTTTGTTCTACATACACTACACAATTTTGCAAATGTATGGGAACATTCTCAGAACTCTGGCTAAGGTCCTGGCAAGGTTGTCTTAAATTTATAAACAAACATTCTTCTAACGTTAATACAAAGATATCTGGTCTTTAATGATGTTCTCAAAATATTAGCACAAAAATGTTATTTATACATCATTAAAAATGTTATTCATACATAATGGAATGTTTTTTTGTCTTTATGTTTTCATAATTTAGCATATTAATAAAATGATCATAGATGGCTGGGACAGATCATTGTGCATACACAAAATGTGCATACTATGCATGGTATGCATATTGCATACTGCAAAAAAGTCTGAGTAATATGGAAGTCATTCCAAACAGCCAAAGAGAGAAATTGCATGTGCATGTGTATGCACAGGAGATGCATGATGTGTTGTTATTAGGTCTAATTAGGCTAATTTACTGACACAGACTGTCTGATGTGTGTGGCCTGGATTCAGCAGTGATTGTATTCGGATGCGGTTAAAGACTGATGCCCAGCCACCCCTTCACACATCATCACATACCTGCCTATTGGCTGCAAAATAATTAGTCACTTAGTATGCAAATGAGCGTTACAAAGCATGACCTTTCAAAAGCAGGAGTGTAAATGTCTTGTTCCAAATCAGTCCTTTTGCAAATTAATGGAGCAGTTTGGGTTTGTTTGCCGTTCTTTTGTTTTGCTTTGGTTTGTTTGCCAATCAAATTCAATGTATCGATGCTGCACAGAATGGAGGGGAAACTCTAAATTACATGCTACACAGGCAACCTGCCAATTTGGTTCTTGAGAATCATATCAACCCATAATACCGCAGCTGTAGTTGGAGCGTGTCACAAACAAACCCGTTTACCGTGCTGCAAAACACTCTTTTTGCTTTGACAAAGAAGTGTAAGGTGCATGAACCACTCAATTATTTTCGCAGCGATAAAAAAAAAAAGTATATCTTTTGTGCTGACGTTTTGATTTATCGTGTTTTTAAGACCTCGGTTTGCAAGATCAGCTGGTTTAAACGGCCAGTAACTGGATCTTCAGTTCATTTGGTGCTGATGGATGTTTTTCTGTCATAACGGCATTTGATCACCTTTACGTTGACTAATTGGCAACAGTGATTGATATTTGGTGCAATGCAAGTTTCTCGGAGCTGCCTTTATCACAGACAGACAGTGTTTGTCAAGAACAGCGCGGCTAATTGTTGGGTTTGCACGGCGTGCTGACATTGAATGAGTACTGAGACAGCTCCTCGTGCATTAAACACGCCGCTTGCTGGTATTTACGATCAAAACAGTTACTGAACCGCGGAGCTGAAGCGATTATGGTTGATCATGAGTGGTTTCAAATCACTAATGTGTCATTTAGCTGATGCTGACACACAGTGCAGGGTCAACGTGGAGTATCCTGAGGTTAAAAACCTCTTCAAGGCCACATTCGTGACGGCTCGTGTGTCAGTCGTTGAGAGAGTTTGAAGCTTCAGTCATTTAGTTATTCAGATTTGAACCCCTATGCTGAGTTACTTGGTTTCAGCTCAAATTTCCTAAAAAAAATAGTAACAATAAACAGCTGTTCATGTGCAGAATGTATGTTGAAAAGCACTGAAATACAGCTTTTATAAAAAGTCCCATGGAGGTAACATGGTACAATAATGGTATCAGCTTATTTTAATGTAAAGTTCTGCTGAAACGCCTAAATAGGTTAGATCAGGATTCAGTGTGACAACATGCCCCAGTGATCAACGTGTATTCAACGAACTGAATCTTTTGTCCTGCGTAATAATGGTTCAAATGTTCAATGGATTTTTTGGGGGGTTTGTCAACATTTTAAGGGTTTTGTCTACACAGAAACTGACTTAAACTATAGTCATATTAAAATGCCATGTAAATACACTTAAAAATAAAGGTTCTTTAATGGCATCAATGGTTCTATATGAAGAACCTTGAACATCCTTTCAAATGCAGAAAAGGTTCTTAGTTGAAAAAGGTTCTTTAGATTTTTTTAAATGTTCTTTGAGGGACTGTTCACTGAAAGGTTCTTTAGGGTTACCAAAAATGGTTCTTCTATGGCATCACTGCAAAAACACCCTTTTGAAAGCTTTATTTTTAGGAGTGTAGGCTAATCATTTGATACCCTCTAGATATGTTAAAGTAACTGAATCACATTCAATTACATAGCATTAGTAATAATGACAATAATAATAATTACATTTATATATTGCTTTTCTCGACATCCAAATCTCTCACATTACCATGGTATCACCACATCTGGACTTCCTGCCTCATATTGACGTGGGATCCTTCAGAAAGGCTAATTTCGACCATTTAAACCCGAAAATGACAGAAACAAGGGCTGGAGTCACACAAAACCACACGCGTTACCGAGAGCGAATCATTTTAGCGAATCGGTTCGTTCAGATGACTCGTTTCAGCAGTGAACTGCCATTCTCAGATTGTTTTGATCACACAAAGAGTTCCTAGAAGTCCATTTTACGTTTTATTCTTGTTGTAACAATTTATTTTTTAGCGGGGAGTTTTCTACGTAGATGTGTCAAATGCCGTGTGGTTATTATTATGCTAATTTTAGCGTCTAAAACATTAACAATAATGTCCCTATTGGAAAATCTATCTTGAACTCGTGCAAACAGGTGTTTCATTAGCCACCATGATCCAAAACATGAATAGCAGGGATTATGTGGATTCTTTTACGATTTCAGAAGCATCTTCTTAACAATTTTGTTGTATGTATAAACACTGCGAATCGGCTCGACTGAATCACTCAGAGGAATCGGTTCAAACGAACCATTTGCTCGCGATTCGGACGCCACTACCACGGCGCGATCGAACCCCTCCCAGTTAACTCCCGTGGCTTTTGCCACGAACATCAGGCAACAATCTCCAAATATGTGAGAGCTCACGTGAAATAACGAGCGAGAGCGTCACATCATATGTTTGAATGATTCCCTGAGGATGTGAGAGTCACGGATGCGGCGATCGATGAGTGTTTCTGTCGCAGGTAAGAGACGAACGCATGTCGCCTGTTGCTCAGCCACACATAAACACACATGATAAAAACTGACATGCATTCGTCTGTATCACATATGCATTTTGCATGCTGAGAACTACATGGTATCAAATGAGCTTATTGTACGTGCGTCAGCTGGTGTTTGTATGTGAGTGAATTATTGCACCGTTTCAAATAATAATGCACCTTTTGAATAGCAATTGACAGGTCATTGATATGCTTTTATTGTGCCGTTTGGATTTGCAGTGCAGCTGGCATGTCTGATTTATCTAAACCAGCCCTGCATGAGCAACTTATTTGCAGTTATTGATTCGTCTCATAATGGAACTAATAATCATGCTTTTTGAATGCAATCATGCTTCACGTTCACTAGGGTGTGGAGACCCTCAGCTGTAATCTGTAAAATCGCTCTTCGCTGCTTTACAAGTCGAGAAAAGTTATTTTCAGCACTTAGCTTTTTTGATTTCGACATGCCTTTGAGATGCTGTCTGCTTGCGAAATTGCTGGAAGAAGGTGATGTTCCATTTGCTCACACCATAAGGGTCAGATTTCATGCTAGAGCCACTAGGATTAAATCAGGGATAATGCACTGGATCAAAGCTCAGATGCTGCTCATATCTGATTGGATTGTTAATATATTTGAAACTAGACGCCTTCAAAGTCAGATTCAAATCTGCTGTTTGGACTGAGCAATAAACACTAAATTTGATTTTTGTGCTGCAAGATCTCCGTGTTTTAATACTTCCCTCAAATCCAATGAGAAGTATGTGTTGCATGCAGAAAATGCATCAAAAGAAATATCTGTACAATTTCTCCACCAGACGTTGCTTGTTTATGTGGAAGTCGAATAAAATATCAGCCAAACATAATTTTTGCACTGATTCAAAGCTGTATTGAATGAACGAATCATTGCGAGCACAAGAGAGCCATTATGTTTCCTTTCCCCGGGCTCCATAATCTTCACATTATGAACTTTAATGTGTTATGATGATGGCAATGGTAATGATGGTAACAGCTTTACAATCTGTTTGGCTTTCTTAGAGTTGTGACCTAGATCCAAGCTCTGCCTGTTAATCTGGATCAATGTGTTTTAATACTAAAACCTGATGTCAGTCTCATTATGACTCTTCCATTCATGAGGAGTATGTATGCACTCATTCTTGTAATGCCGACAGCATCTGCAATTTATGTAATTCTTAACCAGTATCTAATAAATATCTACACATCCTTAGAACAAAATAGATGCTCCCCGGAAGCAAATTACATGCAATATTAATTAATACTTGAGAGTGCATCTTGCGTAGATGTTTTAAATGTTTAAACTCGGCATGAACTCAAAAGTCACCCTACTAATTTTCTAAATGCATGTTATTGATCTTATGGTGAATAATTTTTCAATGCATTTGTTTCTTTAAAAAAAAAAAAAAGGGCCTTGGTGGGTAAAATGACAGACTTCAACAATCATTTAAGTCTGCTTACCCCCCCCCCCCCTCCTTTCTTATTAGTCATTTGAATAGAAAAATAAATACTATTTCTACAGTAATTCTACAGTAATTTGGTTAGCTGTAACTTGAAAATAAAAGTTAAAATCTAAAGTGAAAATTAAATTTCATTATATTTAATAATATAATAATACACTACTATATATATATATATATATATATATATACATATGTGTGTGTGTGTGTGTGTGTGTGTGTAATACATCACA